GGAGGGAGGAGGGGGGAATCTGTGGATAGTATGTGAAGTAGAAAATTTCTTAATAAAAATGAAAAAAAAAGAATTGAAGAGCATAATATTCCTAAAATGGCAACTCAGCCATTACCTTTCAAAAATAAAAAAGAAAAAGAGAAAGAAAAGTAAAGCCAATTCAAATAATGTGTGTTAGCTCGATTTGAAGAGCAGCTCTGGGCGATCAAATGTGTGTGTTTTCCACTAACACCTGACATGAGCTGAGCCACTTGTTGGGTTCAAGAGAAAAAACATATAAACTAGTTTCTGCAGAAAAAAATTAAAGTCTGTGTAGTAAACGAATGCATTGGTCAAATGCAATACTCCAATTATAAGATGCAACACACTTCTACAGCAGGTAAATATAAAATTGAGTTTTTAATGGGCAGACAATTGAACAGAATAAAGAGGTTTGTATAACATTGAATGGTCAGGACAACTGTACTTTTTAATAAGACCATGTATGATTTGTTTCTTGGTGCTAATTGTGGGTACTCATTGTAGATCTGCATTCTTAGGGATGTAACAAAATTCTAGTTCCATTTGACTTCATGGAACACTCCATTTGACTAATTTTCTAAACAAATTAAATGAACAAATACACAAAAATATGTCTTGGTATGTGGTTTAGAATATACAATTCTAGTCGATCATGAACAAGTCAGTGGGTCCTAATTACTGTGTGTGTAAATAAAAAATGAAGTGTCATTCCTATTAAAGCACAAGATTGTGTCTGATCAGATTAAGAGAACCCACCTTGTCAGTACATGAATGCTTGTTGAATGAACTAAAAAAAAATGTGTAGCACTTTGCAAATCATTAAGTCTCTAACAACTAAAGATCCTATTTGCATTAAAGCAACTACAGAATTTCTATTTTTAGAAACTTAAGGGGGAAAGTGAGTTCAAGGTGTGTGTGTGTGTGTGTGTGTGTGTGTGTGTGTGTGTGTGTGTGTTGCAGAATACTCCTGACCTGTTTTGAACAACTAATAATAGAAAATATAGAACTTTGAAAGAAATGTATAGCAAGAAGCAGCAGAAAATAGTGGCAAGAACATGAGACTCTGCCAGCCAGGCGATTTGAGCTGTGGTCACAGTGGCACCTGCCCAATGAAAGGAGGGCAGAAGAAGAGGTCACTTTCAGATCAAAGAATTTAGAGTTTCTTCCAGGCCAAAATATAGTTCTAAATAATTTAAAATGTGCTTTTGTTCTCCTTAACTATATTCCATTGTTAAGAAAAGAGGAAAAAGAAATTAGAGAAGGACAAATGGACAGAACATGAGGGAGTTAATGATAAGGAAAGAACAGAGTGAACAAGGGCAAACACATACAAATTCTATTCCCAACTTCTCCTTCCTTCCCTCCGAAAAGAATTGTGTTAATGACAAAAAGACAAACACACCCTAACAAAAAGCTATCCAGATGTGGAAACAAAAATGTTCATGGAGATTTTCATAGAATAATTTTCCTATTTTGTTCATCTTGAAATATATAAGCCCAAAAATGTTTTTTCATTAATTTAATGTGAAATTATTACACCACAAGTCAAGTAAATGAAACAAGTCAAGGTAGACACTCCGTGAGCAAAATATAATCAAGCTGAAGGTTGAAGAATACCTCTGTTTTGTATCACCCATTTCCAAACAAGCAATCCAAGATGAACATTCCTAAAATAGAATTGTATCCTAAGAATTTTTTTTATGAACTTGAGCTCAGCATTGCTTTGCTTCTAGATAAGCAGGACTGACATATTTAAACTTTAGAGTTACCAATTACGTACGGTGCAAAGCCTACGGTGCAATTTAAAGTCCATATTTAGAGATTTCACTACTAATCTTTGAGCTGTGCAGAGGGCTTGGGCAATACAGCTCTTGCATTCATCTCTGAGTCCCTCCCAGATGAAACCCATCCAGTGCTTTTCTGGCTGTTCCGAGCTCTGAGCCTCTCTAGGAATTTACAGATTTGAGAGCATTTTTCCTTGAATAATAATCAACATACAAGGGAATAGATAGGTTTCCACACAGCCTTGCAGATGCTGTTGCGGATGGTGAGTCCCCCAGTCCACTGTGAAGACATCAGCAAGAAAGGGCAAAAATAAAGTCTGCTGATGTTTACTCTTTTCTCTGTTGTCCATCTACTAGGGATTCTGTAAAGTTCTGTGGATTTTCACATCTGTAAAGAGAGAGCTGTTATCAGAGCTGTCTTCACAGGATTCATAGGAAAGGGTGTTTTTCTTAAACAATAACTGTAGAGAAAATTACTTACACACACACACACACACACACACACACACACACACACACACACACACACACGACTTTGATGAGCTTGTTTGGCTCCAGATAATTTCTTGGGCCTTCTGAGACTTGGTTTTCTGTAAATTAGATATAACTAGAATATCCCCACCCCTTCCCATAAAACACGATGCTGGAAATATGAACAGTATAGCAGATATAAGAGCACTCCAGTGTCTGGAGGATGGAGGCCAGATCAGTTCTGCCCAAGTAACTGACGCAGTCACCAATACAATAATGAGGCGTGTTTAACAGTTTATGAAATGTTTTCAAGATATCATTTCATTGGTCCTTATACAAGATGTAAAATGAAGAGGCCATTTTTTAAATTTAATTTGACTGATGAAGAAATTGAGCTCTAGAGGACTGGCAGCAGCTAGCTAGTAGGAAATATGTCCTCTTTGAGGAAGTCCCATACCAGGCTAGCACGCCAGACTGCATATGTAGTTACGGTCCATCTCCTTTTCATTCCTTTTCTCCTCCAAGTGAATTTTGCTTGGTGGGAAGCCTTTACTTAGCAATCAAAGCTTTCTATTTCTCACCTACAGTTCAAGTCTATCTACTGACATGAGGAGCTTTATTATATTTTGAAATTTCCCTTCAACCAATATCTGCTAACTTCAGGCCTGTAAAAACCCTGAATCATTCAAGCCCGAAATCTTTATTTTAACGTTTTTAAACATTGCTATTTCTCCTGTCACCACATCACCAACAAGTCCCTCAAGGCTTTCTTTATAAAGTACATTGCGTTTATCAGTGGCTCCTATTCATCTGTGGTATTTTTATGGTGTTCTTCTTTGTGGGGTTTATTGTACAGACAAAGGTACTCTTGAGGTGCTTTCTTTCCAGTAACAATCTTCTAAGCCTTTGAACTCAGGGAAGAGCAGGCCAAAGTAATTTCACACAGCAAAGAAAAGTTCATCTCCTCCCATTCCTATTGCTCAGTTCCCTTTATCAATTTTATTTATGTTTCCTTCCCCAGATTCCTAAAGAATAAATCAAGATGTGAAGGTTTTTCACCCCTCCCCACTACCCTCCTTCTTGTGTCCCCTTTAGGACAGAAATCTCACTATTTATTCTTAGTTCATTAAGCTTGTGATATCTCCTGATATGAATAATTCCACCGACTATAACCACTCTAAACTATGCTGAGCCATGGGACCAGGACTATGCATTTAATTCCTTCTTTGATTCTCAAAAGCTGAGCATGGTCCCAAACAAAGTTCAGTTGCACAATATTATGTAATCTTCACACAACTCAGACAGATAGGCATTATTTACTCTGGTTTTTCAGATAGGAATCTGATGTAAATCATTTCTGGTAGTGCCCTCAGGTATGTCCAACCTGTGGCCTGCAGGCTACAAGTGATTGGCTACATGAGAATGGCATAACACAAAATCATAAACACGCTTTAAAAGTTAGAACACTTTTTTTCCACTTCTTTGATAACTTAATCACATTGTTCTCAAGTATGAACCTTGTAGATGACAAATGCTCTGTTCCAATGTCAAAAATTTGGACACATCTGCCTGGAACCTGTCTTCCTCCAGTTCCTTTGTGCTGTGTAACGGGATACCATAAGTTCTGTACTTGATAATTGATAGAAGTTTATTTCTCATGGTTCCTAGTTTCTAGTAAGTTCAGGATCTATGTGTCAGCAAGTTCAGGTAGGTGAGAACCACTGCCTGCTTCCCAGGATGATGCTTTTGTAGAGGGGATAAGTACTGAGGCCTTAGTTGCAGAAGGGACAGAGGCAGAAAACTCTTGCTAGATGGTTGCATGCATTACTGCATGAGTGGATGGATTTTTGGAGCAGATGGAGTACAAAGCCTTGTACATGTTAAGGAAGCACTCTACCACTAAGCTACATCCTTAGCACTCATCCCCTTTTACATGGTGCTAATCCATGAGGGGAAAGACTGTTTGGCCTACTTATCTCCTAAAAGTCTTAATATCGTTACCATGAATATTAGCCATGAGTTTTGGAGTGAACGCAAACACACTATGACAGATACAAATCTAAACACAGTCTTCCTGGATCTACAATACAATTTCTACCTCAGTGATTTGCACAATCTGTTAGATGAAAAGGGTACGTATTCATATGATCCTGAAAAAATAGGCAGAAGGTGTGTATACATGCATGCACCACTGTCTTACATAGTTACCTGGGTGTTGTCACATTCTTGTCTTACTCCTTACTGATAAGACTAATAAGAGACCCGCTTTACTCATGTCCATATCCTCAGGAGCACTGTCCTATTTGTAGAATTATTTATACTGTTAACAATAGTATCTATACTGTTAAGATTTTGTGGCTGGAGATGTAGCTCCCTTGGTAAAGTGCTTGCCTAACATGCATGAAGCCCTAGGGTCTATTCCCAGGACTATGTAAAATCTTGTGTAGTGATAAATGTCTATAATCCCTGCAGGGGGATCAGAAGTTCAAGGTCATCCTTTCACGCATATGAGACTCTCTCACGAAAACAGGAACTTACATTAATATTCCGGGTTGTGTTTGATTTTCAGGATCACAAGAGCATGCTGACATCATTTACGCTTCCACCAAATACAGTCAGAGATCAGGAAGATTCAACCCACTGATTATCCATTGAGAGTTTCAGAGCCAGGGGTACCTCAAGAACTGATGGCCAAACGTCCACTGCTGACACAATCCTGACGTAATGGAAGTGCCCCCAAACCCACCAGCACCTAATAAAAGCGGTGCCAAGAGCAACAACTCCGCATTTTTCTACTTTGAGTCCTGTCAACCCCCTTTTCTAGCCATACTCTTGCTACTCACAGCGTATACTATGGTCCTGATCATGGGCATTTTTGGAAACCTCTCTCTTATCATCATCATCTTTAAGAAGCAGAGAGAAGCTCAAAATGTTACCAACATACTGATCGCCAATCTGTCCCTCTCCGACATCTTAGTGTGTGTCATGTGCATCCCTTTTACAGTCATCTACACTCTAATGGACCACTGGGTATTTGGGAACGCCATGTGTAAACTCACTTCCTATGTGCAAAGTGTCTCAATCTCTGTGTCCATATTCTCCCTTGTATTGATTGCTATTGAACGATATCAGCTGATTGTGAACCCCCGTGGCTGGAAGCCCAGGGTATCTCATGCCTACTTGGGCATCGTCTTGATTTGGCTCATCTCCCTTTCATTGTCTGTTCCCTTATTCCTGTCCTACCACCTCACCAATGAGCCTTTCCACAATCTCTCTCTCCCGGATGACATCTACACCCACCGGGTGGCCTGTGTAGAGATCTGGCCTTCCAAACTGAACCAACTCCTCTTTTCCACATCATTGTTTATGCTCCAGTATTTTGTCCCTCTGGGTTTCATTCTTATCTGCTACCTGAGGATTGTTATCTGCCTCCGAAAAAGAACTAGAAAGGTGGACAGGGGGAGGGAAAATAAGAGCCGCCTCAATGAGAACAAGAGGGTAAATGTGATGTTGATTTCCATTGTGGTGACTTTTGGCGCCTGCTGGCTGCCCTTAAACATCTTCAATGTCATCTTTGACTGGTATCACGAGATGCTGATGAGCTGCCACCATGACCTGGTGTTTGTAATTTGCCACTTAGTTGCTATGGTTTCCACATGCATAAACCCTCTTTTTTATGGCTTTCTCAACAAAAATTTCCAGAAGGACCTAATGACGCTTATTCACCACTGTGGGTGTGTTGCACCTCAGGAAAGATATGAAAATATCGCCCTGTCCACTATGCACACGGATGAATCCAAGGGATCATTAAGACTGGCTCACATAACAACAGGGGTATAGAAACTAGTAACCAAAACCAAAGCCCTTCTGAAATGGAAGAAGGAAAAGGAACTGCATGGAATAGGGTGAGATGCAGAGGAAGCCAGAGTTAAGCACATAATCTCTTTATACCCAGATTTGCTTTAAGTTAAGCATGTCTATCCCATTCATCCACAGAACACACAGAAATCTAGCCCCACCCTTTCTCCCCCCCCCCCTTGGAAGAATAACCCAAACAACCTAGCCACTTCCACTGTAGTAAAGAGCAAAGACGAGAAAGCAGATAACAAGGACAGCAAAGGTAGCCAGGGCACAAATTCCTGCTATTCACTGGAATAGCCACAAAGTTATCAGCTGGGCTATGGCCGGTAAAAACCCACACTACGCCTCCTTCACATCAAAGCAATTCCACTTCCAGATCAAACACCTTCAATCACATAACCTTTCAATTAATTAGCTAAATCAGAAAACACAGTGTTATAATTTATTAGTTAGATGTATCTAGGTTAAAGTTGAAAATATATTCTAACATTTAGATGGAACATTGTAGTTATAATCAATTTTCCTGTCTGAATCAGATCCTTAACTTGTGATAACACTACATTTCTCTTTATTAACAATGCTTTTTTTGTTTTGTTTTGGTTTGGTTTGGTTTTCAAGACAGGGTTTCTCTGTGTAACAGTCCTGGCTGTCCTGGAACTCACTTTGTAGACTAGATTGACCTTGAACTCACTGAGATTATCCTGCCTCAGCCTCCCAAGTGCTGGGATTAAAGGTGTGTGCTACCACTGGTCGGCCTAACAATGCTATTTTAAGACTAGGAAAACAGGTCACAGCACTCCAGTTATGCCAGATAGCATTTTAACTAATGAATGACCTATATCAATAGAGATTTCATTACAAAATGGCCTTTTATCCTGATGACTTTTTGTATGTTAAGTAGGAGTCTTTATAACTTTATAAACTGGGAGGTTTTTATCAACAGCAACATTATAATTAACTACAGCATTTCAGAAAACTATCATGTCTCTAATTACTTAAACACTATTAAAGGATCCACATTACATAGGAGCATCGGCTAGATTATCTTTAACAAGATAATTGACTTATTGTTTCAACAGCTGCTAACTCAGAGCCGTTTACTACATCACACAAGCTTTGCTATTTCCTCAGTTAGACCTCCCTGATAGTTATTAAGTTGGAACGGCAGCCTATTTGTATTATAAACAAATGTAAAATGTGTTTTATTTTGAATAAAAGTTCTCTTAATACCTGTAATTTTTTTCAGTTCTTGAAATACTATCACTGCCTTCCCCCTTTCTCCTTCCTTCCATCCTTTTCCTATTCTCATCAGAATTTCTATTCTCTGCCTTTTGAGGACATAGAAACTGTCATTTGGCAAATG